GATCCTTCAGAAATCATTCTAATATGCTGATTTATTATCAGTGCTGGAAACTGTTGTGCTGCTTAATATTGTTTTGGAACCGGTGATACTTTTTTCAGGATTCTTTGATGAATAAAAATATAAAAAGAAGAGCATTTATTTAAAATAGAAATCTTTTCTAACAATATACACTACCGTTCAAAAGTTTGGGGTCAGTAAATTTGTATTCTTTCTTTTTTTGAAAGAAGTTAAAACTTTTATTCAGCAAGGATGTTAAATTGATAAGAAGTGATAGCAAAGATTTATATTGGTAGAAAAGATTTAGATTTTGAATAAACGCTGTTCTTTTTAACTTTTTATTCATCAAAGAATCCTGAAAACAGTATCGCAGTTTCCAAAAAAAATATCTGGCACTGCGGCCTTGATGAGCATAAGAGACTTCTTTAAAAAACATTACAAGTCTTTCTGATCCCAAACTTTTGAGCAGTAGAGTATATATATTATTTCAATCGTAAAGTATGTTAGATGAATTTAAACAAAAGTACAAAATATAATTGAAAGAAAATAGGAAAATATTGTCATGTGTTAAAGGGTTATAATGGTAAAACCCTCTCAAAGAAACCGAAAGGACACAAAATAAATGTTTAGACAAATATTGATTAGTAGCCAGCAAGCATATGTTGTTTCTAGTGTACTGTAGTTGTTTATGAAAACAACAAGTAAAGAGAAGGTCAGGTACTGAAGAGTTCAGATGCTAAGTGCTCTCTTCTGTTTCTCTGTGATGAAGAGAACGGATTGTGGAATGTTCTCCAAGCGAAAGCCAAGCTGAAGGGCAGAGCTGCTCTGTGCTGGCCATGAACAGAGGAGCGTGATGGGTACAGGAAGCCAGGCTCAGGAGCCACGCTAAGACAACAGCTTTCACCAAACAGAGAAGATGCTACATGAACACACACACGCTCGCTAGGGGTGTGAAAGGAGCTTGGATCACACATACACACATAGACCTGTTCAGAAGCTTAATTTAGACCCTCTCAGACCATCTCCAGCCAAAGCTCTGAGGGTCATCACTACCCCATTGGTATTTTAATAAACACTGCAGCCAGGCCTGCTGAGCCGATGGCCAGGCTGGACTCTCTACTCCTCAGGGTGAAGAAGCCGATAGAAGTCACGACCACAACACCATACAGCGAACTGTGCACATTATCTCTTACATGTACATGAAATTAGGGGTGTAACGGTACAGAGACGTCATAGTTTGGTACATACCTCAATTTTGGGGTCACGGTTCGATACGAGTTTGGTACTAGGGCTGGGCGATATAACTAAAAAATGTATCAACAATATAATGTTTCATATCATTCGGTATCGATAATTATTGACATTTTTTATAACCTTTTTTAAAACAGAGCAATAGAAAAAAAATGTTTACATTTAACCACTGTATTTTTAAATTAACTCAATTTGTTGAGAAAATTTTTTTTTGTTTGTTTTAACAGTCAAACACAAAATAAAAATTAAACAAATATCTAATTTCTAATGTTTTATATGCAGATTAAATAGGTTAAACTTTTGGCTTGTTTCCCAAGGTCACAGGAGGGCGCAATGAGCAAAATAATGCAGCACAATGCAAGGAAATAACTGTCTATAAAAAAAACGTGCATTACGTCTAAATTAACTCATAGAAATCAAATATAATTTCGTAAATTGC